AAATATGGATAAGCAATATTTTATCTTTTAGAGGCATAATTGGCCAATTGAGATGTAATAAGACTTCTGTTGGAGACCAGTTTATTTTGACCTTAGATATTCTAGTGAATCAGTGGAAAGAGTTATTTCAAATATCTTTAAGCATATCACATTCACACTATATATGTCAAAAAGGACCTTTTTCTCTATTACATTTCCAACACATATCAGACTCGGATGGAAAGATTTTTACAGATTTTGTGGGAACCCAATATCATCTATTAATAATTTTATAATGCATCTCCAAAAGATGTAAGCAATGAACGGATGGTGTGGAACTAATTAGTATTTTATTCTAATCTTCATCCTCAATATTTAATCTCAGATCTTTTTCCCATTTAGATATAGCAGGGAGTTTTTGTACATCATTAAAAGTTGTAATCAGTTGTCTTGTTTTTGACAGTATCTTATCAAATTCTGAATAGTTAAATATTTTTGAAATGTTTGAGGATACAAAAAAATCTTGGAAAATCTAAAAAATAAAAATCTTGGAAAATATATTTATTTAATATATTCTTTACTCTAATGGTAATTGAAAATGTGGAAATTGGGGAGATTAAATTCTTCCATCAGTTCCGGAAATTATTTTAGAGACACATTATTTATCAAATGTCATATAGTAGTAATAGTTCTTTGTTTTGAAAGAGTCAAATTCAAGTCTTCTATAGTTACCTCAAGCATTCCTATTTTCTTTGATGGTATTAATTTTGAGATTATTCTCCGTGTTCATTTTATTGACAGGTCTCATCTTCCTCAAATGGATTCAACTAACATGTTTTTGTTACAATGCATTAACTTGGCTCTCCCCAGGTTCAAGGGGTAATCCAGACGTGGACTCCGTGCTCACTGTGTCTAGAGGAGTATCAAAAACACCTTGCTGACGAGCCACAAAGAAGGACGAAACTATTGTTCCGGGTTGCTGTATCTCTCATACAGAAAGAACTTGCAGGCATTTTGGTTCTGGACTGCCCTTGTGGGTGGCATTAGTCTGATATGGCTTGAAATATGTTCTCTCTTTAATGGCACAAGTGAGCAAAAACAATTTTGAGACCTGAGCGGGAAATTACCCAAATTGTGTCCGTTCTCAGAGTTCTCATATTCTCTGTTTATGTTGATAACATACCTCTATTTATAGTCTGTAAAAAGGCTTCCTATAGTGCAGGATTCACCATGAATAAACACATCCCATAGAACATTTCATTGAGAACTCGCAACTTCCTCAGATGGATTTGACTACGCAGCATTTTACTCATAAATATTCCCCAGTAAATTATAGCTATTGACATTCAATACAACACAAATGGTATCATGTAATTCAAAATTCTTAAAGCCTCATTTATATAGTATTCCTTTGACATGACCTGTTTGAGTTTATTATTTTTTATATATTAATTTTGACATCCTCATAATTAATTACATTGTACCCTCTTTGTAAAACAAAGGTTTTTTTTTTAATCCATTGTTTAAATTAAATTATATTAAAGCCATTTGTAGAAATTGCTGGCATTATTTAAAGGACCACTCTAGGCACCCAGACCACTTCAGCTCAATGAAGTGGTCTGGGTGCCAGGTCCCTCTAGGATTAACCCTTTTTTTTATAAACATAGCAGTTTCAGAGAAACTGCTATGTTTATACTGAGGGTTAATCCAGCCTCCAGAGCCTCTAGTGGCTGTCTCATTGACAGCCGCTAGAGGCACTTGCGTGCTTCTCACTGTGAAAATCACAGTTAGAGCACGCAAGCGTCCATAGGAAAGCATTATAAATGCTTTCCTATGCTACCGGCTGAATGCGCACGCGGCTCCTGCTGCGCATGCGCATTCAGCCGATGACGTCGCGAGCAAGGAGGAGAGGAGGAGTACAGCTCCCCGTCCGGCGCTGGAGAAAGGTAAGTGTTTAACCCCTTCCTCTCCCCAGAGCCAAGATCCAGCCCCGCAAAAAAACAATTACACGCTCGTATGCATATATATTTCTCATAAAATACAGTGCAACATTTATTGTAAAGTGTCAGTTTACCTAGACATCTCCAGAATTCACATGCAATAAACAAATATAGAACAGTTGTAACAAAATAAGGAGGATTGGGGCTTTATTTTGATGGGGACAGGGGCTGTATTGTGGCGGATTGATTCTTTAGTGTGGTGGGATGGGGGCAGTGTTTCAGGGGATTGGGGCATTATTGAGGAGATGGGAACAGTATTGTGGGAGACTGGGGCTGTGGTGGGGGGTGGATAGGAACAGTATTGTGGGAGACTGGGGCTCTGGTGGGGGGTGGATAGGAACAGTATTGTGGGAGACTGGGGCTGTGGTGAGGGGTGTATAGGAACAGTATTGTGTGAGACTGGGGCTATGGTGGGGGGATAGGAACAGTATTGTGGGAGACTGGGGCTGTGGTGAGGGGTGTATAGGAACAGTATTGTGTGAGACTGGGGCTGTGGTGGGGGGTGGATAGGAACAGTATTGTGGGATATTGGGGCTATGGTGGGGGGATAGGAACAGTATTGTGGGAGACTGGGGCTGTGGTGGGGGGTGGATAGGAACAGTATTGTGGGAGATTGGGGCTATGGTGGGGGGATAGGAACAGTATTGTGGGAGACTGGGGCTGTGGTGGGGGTGGATAGGAACAGTATTGTGGGAGATTGGGGCTATGGTGGGGGGATATGAACAGTATTGTGCGAGACTGGGGCTGTGGTGGGGGGTGGATAGGAACAGTATTGTGGGAGATTGGGGCTATGGTGGGGGGATAGGAACAGTATTGTGGGAGACTGGGGCTGTCCTGGGTGTGGATAGGAACAGTATTGTGGGAGATTGGGGCTATGGTGGGGGGATAGGAACAGTGTTGGGGCGCAAGGGCAGTATGGTGGGGGTTAAGGACAGTATTGGGGCTCAGGGGCAGTATTGTGGGGGGATAAGGGCAATATTATGGGCGATAGAGACAGTATTGGGGGGCAGGGCAGTATTTTGGATGTTTAGGGAGTATTGGGAGATCTCTCCCCTCCATGTCAACCCTCCCTACCATCCATATCTCTCCCCCTCACCCCCCATGTCAACCCCCGCTTCCATCCATATGATGGATAAAAGTAAAGGACAGATGTGCCAACATAAGGAACACATCTTTAACCTCCACAGAAATCATTTAGGACTGTAAACACTTAAACAAGATGAAGAAGATCAATGTCTCTTATTTTGGAGACATGTTTTTCTATTGCAGACACCGGTCTCAAATAAAACATTAAAAAAAATGCTTGTAGCATCTTCAGATTCAAAAGGTTATTATTTACATGATGACAAACTCACAGGGCTGTTCACTAAATTGAGCATTGTCCTGAATTTCAAAATTAGTAGCAGCAGGCCTGGTTACTGCCAGGGTGGGGTACAGGCAGTCCCGTACCCCCCACCCCAACCCCATTTCCCATGTCTCCCTCCCCTTACCATGCCAACCCCCCTCTTCCATTCATATCCTTCCCCATGTTAACCTCCCCCTTCCACCCATAACTTTTCCCTATGTTAATCTCCCCCTTCCTCAATACCTCCCTCCCAGGCAGCTTCTTCTCTCACAGAGCTGGCGCTCTTTTTGAATGCAGTGCCGGCTCTCCTCACTTACTGAGTGATGTTCTCCTCCCTGCCCTTTTACCTGTCATGGCAGGAGAGGGGGGCCTCTCGATGCATCAGTGTGAGCGCCACGTAGTCACGTGACACCCAGCGCTCCTACGCCGAGCGCAAAGCAGAGGCCTTCCACTGTTAATGTACCATGCATGCGGCTTTCTTATGGAGCCGCACGCAACCTGCAGGGTGCACGCCGCACAGGCGTAGTGGGGGGTGGAACACTCACTGGTCACAGTGACTATTGATTTTTGAGCCCCCTGCTGCAGGACTACTTATGGGAACAGCATTCCTGCTGTTAAAAAAGTTCAGGAACACCATTACCATGCGTTCCTACAGAACCCGAGCCCTGTGCATGCCAGACAAAAATCTACAAAAGAGAGTTAAGTAACTTGGATAAGTTGCTGACTCCCCTTTCGGGATTTTAGTTTGAGTATGTATGTTCCCATGTATGGAATACAATATTGTATTATAGCTGTTGCATGTGAATTACTTGTTTAGCAGTATATCTCTGGATACCTTCTATATACCTGCTGTGATATCTGCTCCACTTTGATTTTTGGTGTCTAATGAATATGTATACTGTTGGATATATGCCCTTTGACATCTTCAGTAGTTCATAATAAAGGCTATATTTCTATCTGTATGTGTGCCCTTTTGGTCACTAATGTGTTCAATACAGAACTCAAACAGCACCCTTCTTAAGCCTATATCAATATTCTGTATAGACAAAAAAGGTGAAGCCAAGCATTCTACTGGGGAATCTTCCAAAAATTCTGCAATCTGATTTTGATTAATTTATCAGTGTGTTTGTTTTTTCAATTTACTATTGCTTTAAATAGTCAGGGCAAAAAGGGACTTTACTGATCATACAAAGATGGGTTAATTTAAAATAGAACATCTCTTTTATGTTGCCTGTTGTAATATTTACGTAATTCCAGACAGATTCTTGAATCGAGGATTGGATTACTCTTCAGACAATGGTTTAATCATGGATATGTTAACCGTAAACAATATATTCCATTTATAATAACACTAAGTAACTTTTACTAAAGGTCACACAAGAAACATAATCTTTGAAACCCTCTGAATTATTTCTGATATCCAAAGTATGTTGAATTCACTTGTTAATTGTTTAAAAGATTTACGTAACAGACACTGAGAATGTTGGATAGAAAGTACAAGTAAAAAAAAATTAGAACAAAATTTGGGTATCCAAACAAAAACATGAACACAAGATTTATTTACTTAACAGTAAGTGGTGGTGAATTAACAATGGAGACATAAAATATAGACAATGTGGTCTATCTTGAAATAAAATAATGATGGTGGTTAAAAAAAATTGTAGGTAGATTGCTCAATGGATAAATGGAAGCAAGGACAGATGGATAAAACTGACCTGAGCACCCCTACTGCTCCCTTTCTAATACCAACAGTTATAGTATATGACCAAGGACAACAAGGAGCCTATCCACCCAAGGTATGTAACAAGGCATTCTTCCATGCATGTTGGTTTTCACACATTAAAGGCTGGATACCCTGGTTATATAAGAAACTGGAGCAGATCTTACATTAAGTGACCCATTGTTAGAATTTGTTATGGAGGCACTTATGCCACAGGAACTGATGCTGAGCCGAGCATGATAGTAAATTAACAAGGCGAATTTAGGGGCAAAGCCAGAATCAGGTAGAGATCAGCTCAGGAGGAAAAGGTTCTTGAACAGTTAAACAGGCAAAGGGTCAGGAATCAGATCAGGAGCAATCAACTAGCAAAACAGTTCACAGTAGAGTAGTCACAAGAACATCTGAATGTTGTTACAAGACTAGGGTGGTCTAAAATAGGGGAGGCGAGATATGTTTCCTCCGCTCTTGTGTCCTATCTGGTATTTGCATTCCTATAGCACTGTTTATGGACACAGTCAACAATTATTACTATTACAATGGGTGGACTAACAGACAAGTATTTATAACAATTGGAATTGAACTCACAGGAACAGAGGGTGTTGAGGGCCCTGCTCAAATTAGTTTACATTCTAGAGGGAGTGGGGGGTAAAGTGACAAAGGAGGTAAGGGTAAGGTGTATTTATGTACGGGACCATGGCATGGCCTCCTCAAAAGATGCTGCTAAAGCCACACGGCACAGAGGATGATACCAAACACCTTATTGTCAGCAAGGAGAGAGACAATGCAGTGGATCCAACCATGCGAGTGTCGTTAGAAGGACAGCTTGGCCCTGACACCCATATAAAGCAGAGACAATGAAGGACTTTAGCTTGGTTTATAACCGCCTTTGTTTGCCAAGTTGTGGACCCCAAGTTTAAGTTGAAATGTAAAGGATACAGCACTCACTAGAGAGCCAAGGTGTACCGGATCTGAGGATGTCCAAGCCACACTTCTAGATATATGAAATACTTTATTGGTCCAGGCACTCAAGGTAATAGCGAAAATAGCAAATTTATTGGAGCAAAAACAGCAACGTTTCGACCCAGCAGGTCTTTATTAAGCTGATATAAAGACTCGCTGGTCGAAATCTTGCTGTTTTTGCTTCAATAAAGCTGCTGTTTTGGCTATTACCTTTAGTGCCTGGACCACTATTTTATTTCATATATTATTATGAAAGGGCATCTCTATTCCTTCCATATCTAGGGATTATACCTGCATGTAAAAATATAAATAATTAGGTTTCCCTTAATGGAAGGCTACTTCAAAACCATTAGGGAGGCTGTGAATAGACTAATAGCAGCTACAGCATGGCTGCCATCAGCTTACCGAGCATTTCAAACTATCTACTGTTGAGTGGAACTATGAAGCTGAAGCAGGGGACTGAACTACATGTCCCATAGAATAAAACTTTATCTGATAACAAAAAACAGACCAGAAAAGGTGGTTCTTTATTGGTAGAGCCTTCTTGGTTTGGGTGAACTCTGAATTCCGAGTCTGCTTTCAGTATGAAAGCATGTTCTGCTTTATTATTTTTTTGCATAATTGAATGCATTTTCTATATAATGTAATACATGTACTACTTCAAACCCTAGAATGTCTCTTTTAAATCACAAGGTTGTAGAATAACCTAGTACTTAGACTGAGTCAATAACTCTTTCTCAAAAATATACACATACTGTCATTGTGTTTACTGTTACTTATAAACCTTCCCTAAAGAAGTATGAACCACTTGACCTACACAACTGTCCAAAGTAGGAGAAGCCATGAATTAACTTAAGAGTCACACTCACTACAGTTAGTTTTTAGTTCAGTAATAAAAAATATGAAATTAGTTGTGGAGAGTATTTGGGGGCGGTCAATAAGGAAAGATGCTAAATTGATAACCCTCATTAATAAATTAAAAACTTTAAATATTCATAAGGTCATCCAGACAAAAACAAGGTTTATTTACTAAACAGTGAGTGGTGGTGAATTAACAATGAAGATATAAAATAGAGACCAAAATAAGAAAGAGAATAAGTTAGGATATAATTGTGATTGATCTGCCAGTTTTGTTGTCTTTACATACATTTTAGTTGGTTGTTGAGTGAATAGACCATTCGAGGTATAGGTTTTAGGATTAATAGAAAAGGAAATCACTAGAAGAAATATAATGTGTAAACATTTACTATGATTTTCTTGATTTCTGTTTAATATAAGGATGAAAAGTATCTTTAGTTTTGTATGTATTTTATTAAGTATTTTATATACTCAGTGATCAGACACAAATCTTTCTGAGGGCGTTCAAAAATATTGATATATTAATGTACATCCGTTTTACTCCCCATTTACAATAAACCAATCTTAAATTGTATTTCTTTATTGAAACATTAATGAAACAAGATATTTTTTCACAGTCTTTCACAGTGAGTTGGGCGATTTAATAATAATAACATAGAATTTAACCAGGAAAGGTACATTCGGATTACTCTGGTTTCCAGTACGTCCTGGGGATGTTACTTTTGCCCAACTTCCAGGGGACAACAGAGCTGTGAAAATTTGGCCAAAATACATGCCAGAATGTTTGGGGTGTGTTGCAAGGAACATCGCTGTTCTGAATTTTACTTAATTTCCTAATAATAATTTATGCAACTAAAAAGTAATTTAGAACAAGACTAATGTATCTTATTTACACAGACTGATTTATAAACACATTTATTGTAGTCAAAATACACATTACTGGAAGTATTATTGCTTTGGAGCTCTGTTATACACTCAGACATAGTAACAATATGGGGCTTCTAGAACAGAGGGTCATTAGAATAGAAAAGAGGGACAGAAGGATTTGGGTCCAAAATAGGGACTGTGCCTACTAAATAGGGATACTTGGGAGGTATCAAAATAACTAAACTGGCAAAACTCTCCTTCTCATCTCTTTTTCCAGATAGCCTTTGATGACTTACTGTTCTCTGTCCTGCTGAAGAGATACAGTTTCCTGCCGGTCACTAAGCAGTTAAGAGAAAACAACATTCAATGCAGCTGGGGTGCTTCGGCAACCCTGGTAGTGTTCCGAGGAGATACTGTGCTAACCATCAGGAGCAGAAGACCATATGAAATTCCTGACTCCCCTGCAGCTCCCACATACATGGCCCATGGCACTGGGTGACGGACTGGTTCTGGCTAATGACAGCCTTTGCCTGGACTGAGAGCATGGGCCCAGAGTGGAGATTGAGCGAGAAATGCCTTGACTACAGAACCCTCCATGGGACTCTTGGTTAAGAGAAGTGGGCCGTCATTGGCCTGCAAGGCTTCATCAGGGTTCCTTTGAGACCCATGCCCAATCAATGTTTTAATTTTCAGTTTGTAATGTTATGTTTTGTTACGTTAGGTACCTATTTAACTGAGGAATTTGGTGGGGGTTGGGGGTGTGTGGATGAATAAGTATGAGCGGGAGTGGGTGAATGGGGTAATGTGTATACTGAGGGGGAGACACAGAGAGACAGAACAGGCTTACTAGACAGACCTTGTCAACCATGCTTTTAGGCATCATGATTATGTAATGCATTAAATAGGCAGGGTCCGTGGTAGGCTTTCAAGTTGTGCCAATTGGCTCACCAGTTCCCAACCTGGGTGCTTTGTCTGTATATAAACTTTGAGAGAGTGGGACAGACAACGGATATATCGAGATGTGAGTGAAGCTGTGAATAGACTTAAGCTGAGTATTTATTTTTGATTGGGCCCCTACTAGCGAAGTTTCTTTTTAAGACATGATTTATCAAAATGTTGGAATTATGTAACTATATATTATCAATCAATGTGAAAAATGTGTCTTTGCTTGGCACCCATGTTTGGTTCCACAACATAAATAAAGATTTACAAAAAAGAACTTGCTGTCACAGTACTTGTGTCAGTATATGTCAGTGTATGGGTATGTGTGATTTGAGTGTCCATGGTTGTGTGAAATTATAAATGAGATAAGATTGTTTATATTAGTATAAGCTTAGTATATGTTATGTAAATGTGTTAAGATGACCTTGATGGGTGCAAAATTACCGTATGTTAGTGTGCGTAGCAGGTGAATGCAGATGTGAGATATGTATGTGTGTGAACGCAGGACTGAAGTATGTGCATACAAGTACAAAGACATTTTGGAGAATACAATATAAATACATTTTTTTTTTAAAGTCATAGTAAAAAAAGAAAGTTAACATTTCCCAGCAAATGCATTTTAACCACAGTTGTTGATATGCTTCTTATTGTGCTTAAATTATATTTATTTATTTTTAAACTGGCAAGGGGCACAGTCAGACTTTTACATGGCTAAATTAACACTAAAGAAGGCCAATCCCCGTGATTTGAATCACACCACATCCCAGTCAAACCTCATTACATCTTGACGGGATCTTCCCCTTTAAAAGTAACAGCTGCCCTGAAGTGCAAAGCTCTCAGTAACACAAAATCTCGCTTGGCCCAACCTCCCCTTACCCCATGCTGCTAGGAAACCACTGGCAGCTGTCACTGTGATTGTAGGATCCAATGCCAGATTAAGTTTTGGTGACATTTGAACTGGCACAAATTCTAGTACTTTATGCCATCTGTAATATACATTAACATTTTCATTGCCAGAACAGTTGTGCTCCATTGCACGCACTCCAGTTTTCAAAACGTTTAAAAAAATTCTCCATGGCATTATTAGGAACCATTATTCAAATGATATAATGTGCCTTTATTTCTGTTTATATTTTATGATGTAGAGGTTCCAATGGTCACAGATAAAAAAATATATATATTTTTATCTTTTCTGCAATTTTTTTTTTAAATGTCTTCTTTCTTTTGCTCAGCATGAGAACATATTTTTGTTCACTGTTATATCATCATTACTCAAATAAAGTAAATATACCCAAATAAGTGTGTGTATTTAATTCATCAAATCAATAAATTCATTTGAATAATTCCACCATACTCTAAACAAATAATTTTATGGCAAGACAGGAGGCTTCATATTTGCTTATCTTTCTTTACTGAACCTCCCAGCAGCAAAGAAATAGTTAACAATAGTGTAAAAACAATTCAACCAATCAGAGTGTATACCAGTATTATATGATGTCATCAAACTCCTCCCAAGTCCTCTTTCTTTGCTGCTTGCCTCCCAGGTGAGTCTGCTCCAATTATTTTGCCTCATGTTTTTTGCCTTTAATGCAATATTTCAACTAATTTTCTCATTAATTTGTTAAATTTTATAGCACCCATATCTCTATTATCATTTTTAAATAATTTTCTTTGGTAATGTTTTGTTTATCAAACATTCATTTTCACTAGTTTCTCACACAATTTATTGTCAGTACACAATACCCTTACTACATATAATTATACCTAACATGTTGGTTTATTTATGTCTCTGAACAGTTTTTAAACTTTATCCCCATTGTTCCGCTTTTAAAAATCGGCGGGGTTTACCTCCGCGATTTTATTACATTTGCTCAATTTTGCGCTCTTTCTCAGATCCCGCCTTCTCGCGCCTGCAATTACCTGACGCGCTTCCTGCCGCCCTTTTGCTGGCGGCGGCCATCTTAAATCGCGGTTTACCTTGTTATTTATGTGTGATCGCTTCACCTCACGTCGGATCCGGTAAGTATCTTATTTACTTGTTGCTCATAGCACCCTTAAAGGGCTACCACCTTTTTCAAAATTATTCTTTGTACCTATTTGTTTTTCTTGACAGGAAAATACCTGCTGTATCTTATCATTATTAAATAAAGGACAGCCTTGTGGGTGACCCCCACATTTTTCTTTGTCACTTGATTCATTGAATGTTGTTGTGGGTGACCCCCACCTTTTATTCACTTTCTAATCAATTTATGACAGGTGTCTCAACACCATTACTACAAGTGAGTGACCCTCACCTTTGCAAATAATATAATATATTATTTAAAGTGACCCCACACTTTATTAAATATTTTACAGACATACTCTTAAAAGTCTGACTACTGAGTGGTGAACCCCAGTTCTTATTGTTACAGTGGTACAATCCACTTATATAATTTAGTGGTCTACCCCACTATATATTGTGTGCCGCCCTTATATATCAAACTACGCTTATTTGGGTGACCCCCTACTTAGAAATTTTACTAAGCACAATTGGGTGAACTCCATTTAACATTCTTGTCTTACGACTATTTGTCAGAATCATTAATACAGTGCTAACTAAAATGTCTGACAATACTGAGCCCGCAATCTCTCAGGAACTTAAAGCTTGGCTGGTTTCAACCATTTCTGAATCCATCCCCAAGGCGTTAGCAGCCTTCCATGAAAAGACTCCTGGCGAAGTCAATCCCACCGCACATTTACTCTCTGACTCAGAGGACTCTCAGCGCTTGGATCAGGAGGTCACACGTCCTTGGAAAGGGAATAGTGTGTCTGCGGGCAAGGGCAAGGCTCCTGCCAAGTCCCAAAAATGAACTGTCACTCGCCCCGCCTAAACTATATTCGACCCCTTGGAGGGTTCCACTTCTCAAATGGGCGATGGGGTTGAGGATTACTACCTTGGCTATTCTAATGAGGACCCCTCGACGAATGCGCTAGGGGATACCCCATCGGAATTTGTCAAGGAGACATTCATTACCAAAAGGACACAGATGCAAACATCTATATGCCCAAGGGACCCGACTCAGACACCCTTCTGGATGCCTCGGGTGTCCCTTTTTTTGACCCTAGGGTCATTAGACATCCACGTTCGGCCGAATGGGCCCCACCTGACCACATCTCTAATTTTTGCAAGATGTGGATGCGTAAGCCCCTTGAAAAAGAAATAAGAGCTAAACTCAGAGCCGAATGCCCTCGGCCAACTATACCAAGTAAAGTGGCTCTCACGCCAGAGTTTGACCCGCTATTTGTGACCTTCCTCACTAAAACAGGGAAAGACCCTCGCAAGGGTATTGAGCAAGGTCTTAAGACAGCCCAGGACAAGCTCCTGGATATCGCTGGTTCCATCATCCAAATTTTCATACTAGCTGACGAAGCTAAAACTAGTGGGGAGTTTGACCCTCACACAGTCCGAGATTGGGCCCAAAGAGCCCCATGTTTCCTGGGCAATGCAAATGTGGCTATATCCACTGAGAGAAGTAGGGCGGCACTATATAAACTCAATGCTAAATTAGCAGACTTAAGCTCCCGAGAACTGGGACCAGAAGCCAATGGCTTGTTATTTGGGGACTCTTTCATGAGAGATCTGTTCAAACGTGCAGCGGTATTTACTACCTTAAACAAGGCCCAATCCTCCCTATGCAGGGTATTTCGATCCCAGTCAGGTCGTTTTTCTGAGAGAGCTGGACATTGTAGAGGCTGAATGAACAGCAGAGCTGTCTTCACAGGCTACAGGCCTCGTCCCTCAGAAAACTACTGGAACTCGGGACCCCATCGACCCTACCACAGACAGTTATTCACCAATAGAGGATCCATTCGTGGACGTGGATCTGCCTCCTTACGCGGACGCACTGCTCCAGGTAATAAACCTTCCTTTTTTCAATGTACCTATAGCAGGTCGACTAACCCATTTTTTCCAACAGTGGGAACTGCTTTCACAGGATCTATGGATCCTACACACAGTCAAGAGGTTCAAAATAGATTTCCTTTCCACTCCCTTCCAGGACACACCACCTACACCATTTCGGATGTCTGCAACAGACAACCTGGCATTACACACAGAATTGAACAAACTGGTGGAAAAAGGGGCGATAGAAAGATCATCCTTCCCACATACCTTTCTAAGCAATATTTTTCTGGTCCACAAAAAAATCTGGAGACGTGCGTCCAATAATCAATTTTAAAGACCTTAATCACTATGTCAGATATCATCATTTCAAAATGGAGGGCATCCATCTCTTCAGGGACCTCCTTTGCGTGGGAGACTGGTTATCCAGATCCGATCTCAAGGACGCATATCTCACTGTCCCTGTCGCCCGCAACCATCGGGCTTTTCTTCAATTCCTCTGGAAAGAGGAAATTTGGCAGTTCACATGCCTCCCGTTCAGTATTTGTTCCGCACCATGCGGTTTCACAAAGCTGATGAAACCAATGATGGCGCTACTCCGATCACAGGGGATTCGTTCCATTGTATATTTGGACGACATCCTGATAATGGCTCAAGATCCAGACCTTTTACGTCAACACACGGACATGACGACGGCCTTATTACAAAACCTAAGTTTTGTAATCAACTTTCAAAAATCGGACCTGGAACCTTCTCAGAAAGTTCAGTTTCTCAGATGCCTAAAAGACTCCATACAGGCGATTTTACAACTACCTTCTACAAAGGTCAAGGCTATAAAGAAAGACATTTGCAAATTGCTATCAGCCCACCAGATTTGCCTATGCGATCTGGCTCATACCATAGGCCTGTCTGCCTCTATCCGAGCCATTTATCCAGGACCCCTAGATTACAGAACCATGCAACGGCTCAAGACTTACTATCTAAACCGGTCCACCTTCTACGACCAACTGATCTACCTAACAGACGAAGTCTGTATAGAACTTCATTGGTGGCTTCACAACATGGAAACCTGGAATGGCAAAGCCATTTTCGGATCACAACCAGACTTCTATGCCAGTCTCTTGGGGTGGGGCGCTACGTGCGCCGAAAGGTCCACCGGGGGACTATGGTCCCCCTCCGAACAAGCACTGCATATCAATTGCCTAGAATTGATTGCAGGATCTTCAATTGTTCACTAGTACTGCGCATGGACAACGTCTCTGCAGTTCGTTATGTGAATCGGTTAGGCTGTTCCCGATCCAAATTACTGTCCGACCTTACCAAGGAACTCTACCAATTCTGCCTAGAGTGGAATTTATCCATCAGAGCAGAATATCTTCCGGAATATCTTCCTTTCATGGACAACCTAGTCGCAGATTTGTTCTCTCATCATTGGAGGGACGTAAGCAACTGGCAATTGGATCCCCGCTTGTTCTATCAAATTCATTGTCTTCGCGGGCCCCTCACACTGGACCTGATCGTGTCTCGGCTGAATCACCAGACGAAGGCCTTTTTCAGCTGGCTCCCAGATCCCCAGTCCTGAGCAGTCGATGCCTCCCTACACCCTTGGCCGGAGACAGGAGCTTATGCGTTACCGCCTTTCTGCATGATCCAGTGCACCCTTTACCGGGTCAAAGCCCTAGTAGTGACGATAGTTATTGTCACTCAGCTATGGAGAGCCCAGACTTGGTTTCCAACCCTGCTAGAACTGTCTGTGAATTGTTCAATTCTACTACCTCAATCCCCCGACATCCTCAAGAATCCAGCAGGGCGCTGTCACCCACTCGCCCTTCAAGGGCAGCTCTAGCTTGTAGCTTGGACCATTTCAGGGGATCCTGGAACTTCTCAGGGACTTTCGGAGACAGCTCAGGACCTCCTATCGGACTCCTGGGCCCCAGGCAAAAGAAGAGCTTACCTCGCTGCATGGCGGACATGGGTCAGCTGGTGTTTGGTAAGGGATACCGATCCCTTTTCAGCACCTCTGACAATCATCCTAAATTTTCTATCTACTCTCTTTGATCAAGGCAAGTCCTATAGATCAATTATTGTTTTTAGATCTGCTATTTCTGCGGCCCACAACCCTATTGACAATGCATCAACAGGAAAACACCCTTCAGTTTGTATACTTTTACGAGGGATCAGGCTAGCCAGACCCCCTCTTCCAAGATATTCCAATTTCTGGGACGTCACTCAGGTTTTTTCCCTTTTAGACTCCTGGCCCTCTAATGAGAATTTGACGTTACGTCAACTCTCTGCCAAACTGGCCTTACTCCTATGTCTGGTATCCTTCCGTAGGGTCTCCGACATTCGAGCATTTGATTTCCACGCTGTAGTTTTTTCGCCTGAGGGCGTTAAATTTCACATCACCAGGCGAACGAAGACTAATTCCCCCTCTGTATTCTACCCTTACTTTCCGAATAGACAGTCGCTTTGCGTGGCGCTCTGTGTAAGGCACTATATAGATGCCACGACCAATCTGCGTTCCCCTACAGGACCCCTTCTCGTTTCCTATGTCAGACCACACAAACTGGTGTCAGCTCCCACCGTCGCGCGGATCAGATGGATACTAGCCCAAGCAGGTATTGACTCCTCTTTTGGAACGCATTCAGTCAGAGGAGCAGCCGCATCCTCAGCCTTTCGTACGGGTAGTTCCCTCTCAGACATTGTCGTCTGCAGATTGGACCAGTGAATCCACCTTTCGTACATTCTATATCAAACCTATGCCACATGCTGCATCTTCTATCATATAAGAGCGTTAAAACAGCAAATATGAAGCCTCCTGTCTTGCCATAAAATTAGGGATTATTCTAGCCCTAGTGACTGAATAATCTAAATTTAATTAACGACAGGAGGCGAATTTTTTCCCTCCCTTCTTTGTTTTTCATTATGATTTGTACCCGCCCTAAGGTAAGTTACTAAAAAATAAAATAAAATAAAAAATAAAAAATTTCTAGTCGATCTGTTTCAAAAAAATTCACACATCATCCGTCATAGGTTTACACCACAAGACCAAGAGTTTGACATACTCAACATCATTTTACATGAAATCTATTGAAATTGCAGTCCCTAGTATGCATGCCATAAACTTGCATTCAACTAGTATGAGAACCTATACTCTCATGTTTTTTTTCTCTACTTCCCTTTAGTGTGAAGAATCCCAACGCTTGTGATATATGGATTCATCAATCCCGTTGAAAGTTTACATGGCTGACTACATCAGGACCTTGGATTGGTCACGGTTCATAGTTATAGTTTACATGGTTGATACTCGGATATCGTCGGCTACAGCAAGAAAGAGGACTTGGGAGGAGTTTGATGACATCATATATTACTGTTATACACTCTGATTGGTTGAATTATTTTTACACTAGTGTTAACCATTTCTTTGCTGCTGGGAGGTTCAGTAAAGAAAGATAAGCAAATATTCGCCTCCTGTCGTTAATAAAATTTAGATTATTCAGTCACTAGGGCTAGAATAATCCCTAATTCACAACCAATCATACGTTAATGGTGGTATATTAACTATAAAATGCTATGTCTTACTAGACTTGCTATCACTGTACTCTTAATGTCTATATATAATGACATCACTCTGATCCGTTGTTACAAATCACCTGTTCACCTCCAAATAGGATCACTGCATTTTTTGTATATAAGGTATCCATCTCACATACACAATTGATTTGAAAAAAGTATTTTACAGACTGAAACGTCGACTGGAACGTTGTGTGAATTTGTAATTGGTCAATAAAGCAACAGATGAAATTTACCTTGAAAGACTCCTGAGTGCTCTCTACTGGTATCGTATACAATTTGGTTGAAGATAGCACCGGAGCATTTAAAGACCGGGAGCATTGAGTGCTGGGACCTGGGACGTATATATATGTATATATATTACTGTTCATATATATATATATATATATATTACTGTTAATATGTCTGTACATGTTAATTTGTATAGTGTGAACAGGTGTACACATGGCTCAACAGATGATATTACAGAAAAGAGATGGTAATGTAAGTGTATTTTACACATATTTAGTTATATCATTGGTATGCACCCTAACACAGATATCTGTAAATTAGAACGGTCAACAACATTGTCTTATGTTTGTTACAATAAATAAAGCTAAAGCTTTTCAAAGTTGCATTTATGAATACAAGAAAAAGTGATTATTTTTTGAGTATCACTATACTTACATTATACTTGTAATCAATAACAACTCTGATTTACTTTGCAATCACGTTCATACATCCCAACAATGGGAAGCATGGAATTGAGATGCAGTGAGGGGGGCCCTAAGGGGCATCACCACTGACACAACCAGCAAGACTTGGAATAACCAAAATGTACAGTGACACCCAGAAAAGAGGCAGACCTGCCCAGTGATATGCCTTCACGACCATGCAGGAAACACTGAGTACTCATCAGCCAAAAAATAAATAAACAAAACTAAAATAATAAAAGGTCAGTTTTTAGAATTCCCCAGTTTTTAGTATGTACCATGTCTCCTTTCATGATAATGGCCCAAATGTTTTATATTGTTTGTTTTCCTGGCATTTGTGTATCTAATAAACTCTGTTGTCCACGCTTTGTGTCTCTAAATTCATGAATATTGTGATTATTTCTGACTGTTTTTATGGAAGACTTTATTTTAGTATTACTATTTTAATTATTAAATTTTTTTAGATATGTGTCAAATATATTCATTCCATTAACGTAAAAAAGAATTACGTCAAATTAGCATTATTATCTTCCATAAGGCCACGGGGCTGTTTTGTTTAGGGTACAATTTGAACATAATGAGTTATAATTCCTATTAAGTGTGATTTTAATTCTCCTTTTAAGGTCAATTGCAGTAAACGTAATTTATTAAAGTCCATCATGGCTTGAATATATATTACCCAAATAAAACTCATTGCAATCTTACATTTTTTTTGTTTAATGTTTTCAATCATAGTGAAGCTCCAGGATGTATCAATTCAAATATAACATCTGACCTTAATTCAACTCAGCTCCAATGTTCTGCAATAATTTGATTACCTGCCAGCTAAATCAGTACAGTTCAGTATATCTCACAAGATGTAGGAAAAAAAGATCAGTCATTATCTTTCATTTGAAAGAAAAGGAAATAATATGTTATAAAGTCTCAAACAGTATCTCACAAAAGTGAGTACACCCCTCACATTTTTGTAAATATTTTATTATATCTTTTCATGTGACAACACTGAAGAAATGACACTCTGCTACAATGTAAAGTAGTAAGTGTACAACCGGTATAAGTAAGTGTAAATTTACTGTCCCCTAAAAATAACTCAGCACACAGCCATTAATGTCTAAACCATTGCCAACAAAAGTGAGTACACCCCTAAGTGGAAATGTCCAAGTTGGGCCCAATTAGTAATTTTCCCTCCCTGGCGTCATGTGACTCGTTAGTGTTACAAGGTCTCAGGAGTGTTATCGCTCTCACACTCTCTCATACTGGTCACTGGAAGTTCAACATGGCACCTCATGGCAAAGAACTCTCTGAGGATCTGAAAAAAAGAAATGTTGCTCTACATAAAATTGGCCTAGGCAACAACAAGATTGCCAAGACCCTGAAACTGAGCTGCAGCATGGTGGGCAAGACCTTACAGCGGTTTCACATGACAGGTTCCACTCAGAACAGGCCTCGCCATGGTCGACCAAAGAAGAGTGCACATGCTCAGCATCATATCCAGAGGTTGTCTTTGAGAAATTGATGTATAAGTGCTGCCAGCTTTGCTGCAAAGGTTGAAGGGGTGCGGAGTCATACGCCGCACACTGCATCAAATTGGTCTGCATGGCTGTCGTCCCAGAAGGAAGCCTCTTCTAGAGATGATGCCCATAAACAGATTGCTGAAGACAAGCAGACTAAGGACATGGATTACTGGAACCATGTCCTGTGGTCCGATGAGTCCAAGATAAACTTATTTGGTTCAGATGGTGTCAAGCGTCTGTGGCAGTAACCAGGTGAGGAGTACAGAGACAAGTGTGTCTTGCCTAGAGTCAAGCATGGTGGTGGGAGTGTCATGGTCTGGGCCTGCATAAGTGCTGCCGGCACCGGGGAGCTATAGTTAATTAAGGGAACCATGAATGCCAACATGTACTGTGACATACTGAAGCAGAGCATGATCCCCTCCCTTCAGGGACTGGGCCACAGGGCAGTATTCCAACATGATAACGACCCCAAACACACCTCCAAGACTACCACTGCCTTGCTAAAGAAGCTGAAGGTAAAGGTGATGGACTCTCCAAACAGGTCTCCAGACCTAAACCCTATTGAGCATCTGTGGGGCATCCTCAAACGGAAGGTGGGGGAGCGCAAGGTCTCTAACATGCACCAGCTCCGTGATGTCAAAATGGAGGAGTCGAAGAGGACTCCAGTGGCAACCTGCGAAGCTCTGATGAACTCAATGCCCATGAGGGTTAGGACAGTGCTGGAAAATAATGGTGTATTCTTCATTCCTGGGGCCTCTACAAAAGGTTTAGCTGTTCCTAGAACTGCACTGTTCTGGACAGAAATCACAGTTATCCCCGCTGAAGCCACTTTTAGGCTCCTATCACAGCTTGGACTACTACTGCCTGCCCTTTCCAGATCCTTTGAAGCTCTTCTTGCAGTCAATAGTATTTGTCCACCTTCTTATGTTCCTTCTTCCTGATGGTATTGCCACATCAGCTACCACTGCAGTCTTCTGTTCCTTGTCTACCACCACAATGTTGGGTTGGTTGGCCAGGACTTCCTTGTCTGTCTGGATCTGGAAGTCCCACAGTATCTTAGCCCTGTAATTCTCTACTACCTTTTGTGGCATCTTCCATCTGGACTTACGTAGGTTCAGTTTATCGTCTGCGCAAATGTACCAGCACACAGTCGAAGCAACTTTTTGTAATGTGAGCCACATCCACTATCTGCTCATGGTACATCCCATGGAAAGGTTTGTCTTGCCATGGAACCTCCTCCTTTTCTGCATGCTCTATATGTTGTTATCTCGGGCATTCCCTTAGCAGTTCATCTTTGTGAGCCATTGTAACGCCACCCTCAGCACAAAAGGGTTAAACTGCCATTTAGGAGAACTTCCCCTTCCAGAGACACAGGCACAGCTACTGCAGAACACCAATCCGCCAAACAGGAAACCATATGAATGCTGTAAACAGCCGAATAGGAAAAACCATACGAATAGGTTTACACTCCTAGCAGTCAAATTGGAACAGCATACAATAAATCCCCCCAAGAACGAGACAAAGCTCCGTGTTGAGGGTCAAGCAGAGAACAAACAGAGCTGTGGGTTTATTGTTCTTATATACACATTAGTACCACCCACAGGGTTTTGGAACACAACCAATAAACACATACACTCAGACACTCCCACACAAAATCCTCCCCTCTGCCTGTGATTCAATTACCTTACACAATGGGTAATGGAATTATAACAAGCAGAGAAATAAAAACTTTCCACATTATTCATAAAAGTATGCATCACATTCACATAAAACATACATTTTCAGAATCAGCATACTCCAAATACAAACATACGTCAAATTCATACAAATTGGTCCAATGGTTCAAAAGATAGATCGTAGTCCTTTGTGACCAAAGGAAGCATGGCTTTTCTGCCCAAAACCAGTTCCACAGAGTCTTCTATCCTGGAGATAATTGGGAAGTAATCCAATTATCTCCAAAGACAGAGGCAAAACTCCATTGAACACATGGCAAGACAATAAAACACATAAAAACATATAACTGTGCAGCCATTGCACAAAACAGGTACATTCAACATATCCCCAGATAGCTCAGATCTGAGCGCACACATACAGTTCAATTGCCATGGAGCCAAAGTCTTTCCCATAGTCTTTCATTATACGAATGGACTCAATGGCATAGCTATCTGGGGTATCACCGCTCAAACAGGGCAAGCACCAAATGACCCGGCTTTCATGTCTTTGCAGGGGAAAATCAAGCCTTTTAACGTGGGGCCATAATCCAAAGGCAACAGGCGAGCAACCAGGCTTCTCCAATGCAATGTGGCGAGATTGGTCTCGTCACAGCCATCATCATGGTGTACTTGTGAATGCTTTGTGTTTCATCCATGACTGTGGCCTTGATATGAGTGAGGGAGGGGGTGACTAGTGACAGAGTTAGGGAGGGAAGGGGTGACTAGTTACAGAGTGAGGAAGGGGGTGACTAGTGACAGAGGGAGGGGTGACTAGGGACAGAGTGAGGGAGGTGGTGACCTCCTCCTTCACTCTGTCACTGTGTCACCCCCTCCCTCACTCTGTCACTGTGTCACCCCCTTCCTCACTCTGTCACTGTGTCACCCCTTTCCTCACTCTGTCACTAGTCACCCACTCCCTTCCTCACTCTGTCACTAGTCACCCCCTCTCTCACTCTGTCACCAGTCATCCCTTCCTTCCCTCACTCTGCCACTAGTCATCCCTTCCCTCACTCTGTCACCAGTCATACCCTCACTCTGTCACCAGTCACCCCTTCCTTCCTTCACAGTGACAGAGTTAGGGAGGGAGTGACTAGTGACAGAGAGAGGGATGGGGTGACTAGTGACAGAGTGAGGGAGGGGGTGACACAGTGACAGAGTTAGGGAGGGAGTGACTAGTGACACTAGTCACTCCCTCCCTCTGTCACTAGTCACTCCCTCCCTCTGTCACTAGTCATTCCCTCCCTCTGTCACCAGTTATCCCCTCACTCTGTCACTAGTCATCTCTTCCCTCCCTCACTTTGCCACTAGTCATTTCTTCCCTGCCTCCCCCACTCTGCCACTAGTCACCCATTCCCTAACTCTGTCACTAGTCACACACTCCCTAACTCTGTCACTAGTCACCCACTCCCTCACTCTGTCACTAGTCACCCCCACTCACTGTGTCTCCCCCTCACTCTGCCACGACTCAACCCCTCCTTCCCTCACTCTGCCACCAGGTACCCCCTCACTCTGCCACCTGTCACAACCTCCCACACTCTTCCACCTGTCACCTTCTCCCTCATACACTCTGTCACCTGTCACATATGCATTCACACAGACACTATATACAAAAAAGCACATGTAGTCATCCAGACATGCACAAGTGCATTCACACAGACTCAAATACAAACATGCATTGATACACAGGTCTTCACAATATACAAATCCAAAGGAATGCCGTATTATGAGTTATATTTAACATTTATTTAATGCATGTATATTTGGCCTTCAAAGGGCCTGGGATCTAATTTTGCCCGGGGGCCCCAAAGGCTCTCAGTCCGCCCCTGAGTAGGGGGTGGGAAAATGACTGAACACTGACATCCTAGACACAGCTGATAACTAGCTGGGCAACCCTTTCCACAACTCTACGTTGCCACCTTCACATTTACATTTTTACATAGAACCATCTTCCTTCCTCTACAGTGAAAATAAATAAATGCATAAAAAGTAAAAGTTCCAAACAAGCAGAACATTTATATAAAATAATCAGTATTTTTAATGCGAGTAGTACTTGTTTTTTTTTTTAACTTGCTTTTATGACAATGTAATACAGCACAAGTTGTCTTTGAAGCCCTCATTTCACCCTTATGACCTGACATTCATAAGAAATAAGCCAGACACGAGAGCACAGGTACTTTGTTATTAAGAACGTTTCTGCTTACAGAGATCATTTAAAAAAAAAGTTGTTTAATACATTGCTTAGGCCTGTGTTGCAACACAGTGTCGAAATTTGAATTATACAACAAATTCGAATTCTTCACCCAAAATCAAGACAAAAACCAGTAACACTTGTCTTTATATTTCATTTTAGAAATGCGACATAATTAACCTTTCCCACTAAACAATATCTTCAGAAATGAAATCCTGACTATATTTAAATAAGAGCACTGCTTTATATCAGCTCATTCTCTCAAACACAGAACAAAATATTTGTGCTGGCATAAATCCTTGGAAAAGGTATAATGTCATAACAGTTGGTGTCTTTGTCTATTAATAACTCAATTGCCCCAACTTCTATATATATTTATAATATTGCTTTGTAAATAGTATTAAAGATTTGTCTTGGTTGTAGTTTGGCTCAAATTTCAATTTATATTAAAGGAAACACTGACACCTTAAATCTGCATTGTTAGCGTCGAAAGCTTTTACAGGGCTATAACAGGCAACAGTTAATTGACAGTGTTGACAGTTGTATTCCAACGTCAGTTGGAGGCCTACATCCAGTTGTCAGGCCTGGACCTTTTTGGCAATTTAGCCTGGTTATTGTCCTTAACACATCATGGATTTTAGAATTTTGCGTGCGCTGATACTGTTGCATTCTTATTCTGCCAAAATTAAATTAAAATAAATTAAAAGTTGCATGTAAGTGATTGCCTTAAATGCATTAGTGTCTCAAACAGATTGTTTGTTTCGTGACTACTGTATATTCTAATTTTTCAATTGTCTTTTATTGCAGCATGCCATTAATACTTTGCAATTGTCAAAGTATGAGCTTTCCAAACGCAAGACAATATGTGTAAATCATATCAACACAACACAACAATGGAGTACACAAAACAATAACAAACCGACCTTCGTCAATGTTACGTCCTAATACGAAGTTAGGGGAAGGGGTTGCATTCCCCAATCCACCATCAGCAGTAATTCCATGGCCTCATATAGTCTGAACACCTTTTCCTTAGCCATGAGGACTGCTGACACTTCCAGGGCCGGCGTGTCCTATGGGCAATTTAGGCAGTCGCCCAGGGCGCACCGGCCTGGGGGACGCCTAATTTGAGTGACCTGGTAGGAGGGAAGCGCACAGCTTCACAGCTTCTGTGTTTTATGTTGTTTGGAGCAAGGGATCAGTGAAACCAGAGGACTTGTTGCCATTGCCTGTGTTACCCCTTATTTCTTGTAGACCCCCACCCCCCCAAGAAGCAGAAAAACAGAGAGCTCAGAAAAGACTTTGTTGGTGCAATCAATGCCACTTTTTCCTAAAGATGCAGAGCAGAGTACCCAAGTAGGGTTCCTAACGACTGGTCTTGGTGGTGGTAGTGATCATGAGGAATCTAATGAGGATGATATTGCTCTTTCTCCCAACTACTACAGACATTTGTTTCGGTCTGTCCCAGGAGGAAACAGACTATGAAACAGAGAAATTGCAAGGAGAGTTCAGAGAAGGGGGTCAGTAGTCCACTATCTGCACCTACTGTGCACTTGCCACTTTGTCTAAGTCCATCTCTATCTGCAGTAGGTCCACTGGTGATGTACCAGTAGAAGCCCGTTGACTCCATGGGACATTAAACTGCTATTTTTACAGACATCCAATGAGGACCAAAGGCATGCACAGCACATTTTATTAAATTATTCAATTCGGAACCTTTTTTTGGAACACTGCAACACCATAACCACTACACCCTTCTGTAATGTCATTATAGACTAAAGTACAGGACCATGCTTATTGGCTGAGATTGATCATCTGACACTTTCAGCCAATGAGTGAGCTGCTGCACAGCCTTGCTTTGCCTTGTAGAGCTAACCATATTCCCCTGCAAAAAAAATGGAAGTAACTGCTGTAGATACAGGCAATCGGACAGGACCAGATAAATTGCCAAATCTTACTCCAAAAGTCATTTCTATGCAAACAAGTAAACTGAAACATAACTATTGTTAATTATCAATTTAACATATCTGCAAAGTTGAAAAAATTTACAAAGAACATTTCTTGATTTAGTGATAAACAGTATATATGAAAAAAATAGTATCTTCATCTTCAAATGGATACTAAACCATTAATAAAATTAGGGACGTTAATAGGGCAACTGGCCTCTCAATTTTGGTGTGCCTATGCACTCTTAGAACACCCCTTGCACATACCTATGGGCAGGCCTATGGAATGTCCATGTATATAACTAGGTATTGATATGGGTGGAAATGTTCTTAAAACCACTCTTCTGAAGTTAATGGGAAGGCAATTATCAGAGCACAGCATGGGTTGATATCCCGACAGTTTACCCTTTCCTAACTACTACTACTCCTATTGTCCATTACAACTACTGCTGGCCGCCTCACGCTGTTTCTTCCTTCCCATTAATACCCATTCCGCCTTCACTAATCCTTCCACTATCACAAATACTCATTTAGTCTAATCTCTGAAATGTTTTTATAAAATTACTAATAAAAAAGTAATGTATGTCATTAGCCTTTAACCCCTTAAGGACACATGACATGTGTGACATGTCTTGATTCCCTTTTATTCCAGAAGTTTGGTCCTTAAGGGGTTAAGTTTTTTGCAAATATACATAGACAGCTTTAATCTTTGTTATTGACCTATACTAGAATACTGTAAGTAGTTTTATTCTAGATTTTAAACTGGTCCTTCTGCTTCTACTAGGAAAGAGTACTGGTGCAGCTGTCGTTTAGATCTTGATGTCAGGGAATTCACATTAGCAAAACAATTACACACAGTCACCTTCATCAAAGACCTGTCTGTATCAGTGATTAGTGTACTTGGTCAGAAGCATTTTATTGCAAACCAAGAGTCCACTTTAGAGTATACTTTATTTAACTAGAAGAGCACTTTGTACTGTTGATAGATTATAATCACCTTTTTTTTCCCCTCACCGTAATTTATTTGTGTACACAGACTCATAGAAGTCACATGGTTTCTTACTTTAAGTCCTTCTGGTTATGGGATAAGCCTTTCAGTTGTCTTTGTCTTTTTGACACCCATGAAAGACTCGGTCAACTGATTATAGATGTGCCTGCTTTTAACTGCCTTTTTATTCCCCTGTGATGGATGGTTTAAGCAGATGGACTTGTGTTTTAGAAGCAGAAGAGCATGCTGGATCAATGATGGATGATACCAACTGAATAACAAAAGGCGAAGATTTCTCAAACTACCTCACAGCTTAGCACTTTAGAAGTCAGTCTATGTTGCTTGTGTTTTATCTAGTTCCAGATCCTATTGTGGTTTTCACATGTGTTGAAGAGCTCTTTAGATAAATAAGGGGACTTCTTCACAGACAGACAATAATGAAACATTGTGAATTTTTTTTTTAAACTTTTTTTTTCTTTTTGAGTTCAAAAAGCTGGAAAACCACTTCAAGGATACTTTTCAAATCAAGGACGTTCCAGGAGAAAGAGAATTTGGCAGAAAACATTCAGACACTTTCAGTTTATAAATCTTGTTTATAAGAGATCGAGGTAGGATGGGAGACATTCCTTTTATAGGAAACTTTCTGAAGCAACCTTAAAACATACTTTTTTTCCCCCACTGACTGTCCATGTGCATTTATGAGGTTGTCTTTATGCACACAAAGTTCAAACAATACTGCACCTTCTAGTTGCATTGTACAGGTTGATAACGCCCCAGTATTGCCACAAGAATTGCAATTTTATTTATCACTGCTGGGACATGGCGATAGTTCCTATATTTTATTTAGTGGTAGAATTAGTTATTTAGCTCACTGATTTATCCCCCTTGACATCTATTTTACAACACCTGACTTTTTCTAAACCACAGCCCCACATGATGTCCATAAAAGTCCTACTACAATATTCTTCCTAGCTCAGTTCATCGTAGGACAGTACTCTGAGGCTCTGGGGTGTCAGTTATTTTTATTTGTAGTACTGACATAAAAAAAGGCAGAATATGTTGTGACTTTATAAACAAATTATTTGTTTAAAACACAGTGTTTCTGTATTTGTATATGTGTAATGCATAGGATTACCATCTGAAATTCACATAGTCAGATGTCCGAAGGAACTGTTTCATGACTCTTTCTC